CAATGCCCATCCCTCCACAGGAACATTGAAAATGCAAGCAGAAACTGTTAAAACCTACTTTGTCAGGAGCGCCTGGGTGGCTCAGTTGGTTAAGCATCCAACTTCGGCTCAGGTCAAGATCTCACGGTTTGTGGGTTCAAGCCCTGCATTGGGCTCTGTGCTGACAGCTCAGAGCCTAGAGCCTGCTTTGGATTCTGTTTCCCTCTCTCTCTGCCCCTCCCTGGCTCACACTCTGTCTACCTCTCTCTCAAAAATAAACATTAAAAAAAAAAAATAAAAAAAAAAACACCCTACTTTGTCAGACTTCTCAGAAATAGTCCAAAGTTTATAGCACACAAGCAAATGAAGAATCAAGAGGAAAAGGGGACTTAAAAACAATCACAAAGCTTTATGGCATTTTTATTTGCTCTTGCCTCACCCATTTCCTAGCTCCTGGAGGTCTTGAAGAGGCAGCCCATGTTCTCAGTATGGGACCCTGGTCCCAGCTCCAGAGGGAACACAGCAGTCCTTATTCACAAAGAATTGTGTCTCTCTGTTCTAACTTATCCAAGGGTTCGGACTTGTCTTTGTCATGTCTAACTTGGAAATCACCGTGGGCAGAAAGGTGATGGGCATTCTTAGAAAACATAAGATGAGCGGGCAACCTGCAGTCTTCTAGGGGAAAAGATGATGGGTGAAGGAAACACCAGAGCACCAAAAGCCTAGGGAATAAGATTCTTTGGAAAACCAGAGTATTCAAAGGTGCCCATGTATACTGAGGAATTCAGAAAGCCACATGCATGCCCAATTCAGGAAACCTGCTCAGAAAGGGCCGAAGAAGGTCCCAAGATTCGGGTTCTGGCTGATCTCAAGGCTCAGTGAGAGCCGGAAGTGAAGGCTGAAGCTTAAGCACTGAAGAAATATTCCAGCACAAAGCCCATCTGCAAAGACTGCAAAAGGATTTTTCCTTTGTCTTGAGTGGTTTTCCCTTTCTCTTTTCCCTCCCTCTTTTCATCTCTCTCTTTTGGTTCCTGGCACTCAAGAAAATTGCTGTCAAACACTAGATGAACACAAACTAAAAGAACAGATACTTCAGAAACCACACATGAAAAAAAATATATACGCTTTACAATATAGTTTAGAAAATGACTAAATAAAGCGATGAATCACGTGAAATCTACCCCCAAAACCAAGAGCACACTGTGTTAGCTACCTTGACAGCAAATTATATTTTAAAAAACCCAGAAATGACCAAATAAATAGCTACAGCCCACAGCAAGCAATAAATACAAATGCTGAGGAGTGGGAAGAATCTGATTTCCAGAGAGCCACATTATAATATTTTAAATGTCCAGATTTAAAATTACAAATAACGCAAAAAGAAACCCTAGAAAGTATGGCCCATTCATAGGAAAAAATTAACAGAAACTGTTCCTGAGAAAGCACAGACTTGGGTTTTACTAGATTTTAAACCAACTGTCTGAAATATGCTCAAAGAGCTAAACAAAACAAAACAAAAAAACTAAGGACAAAGAACTAAAGGAAACCAGGAGAACAAGGTCTCAAAACCTAGACTATATCAATAGACAAAATTATAAAATAGTACCAAACAGAAATTCTGAGACTGAAAAGTATAATATCTGAAATTAAAAAAAAACAAAAAACGCACTAGATGGGTTTTAATTACAGATTTGAGCAGGCACAGGTATAAACAAATTTGATGACAGGTCAACAAAAATTCCCCACTCTGAGAAGAACAAAAAAAAGAATAAAGAAAAATGAACAGAGCCTAAGCAATATACCAACATACGCATAATGGGAGTCCCAGAGACAGAAGAGAGAAAGGGAACAAAAGAATATATAAAGAATTCATGGCCAATTTGTCATTTATACCTCAACACAAATGGGGAAAAAACACAAACACAAAAAGAACCACACACACACATGCAAATATTAAGGACTGAAAACTCCCCAAACTTGATAAGAGACACAAATCTACATATTTAAGAAGCTCGACAGGCTCCAAGAAGGATAAAAGCAACTCACTGCCCATACTGAGACACACCATAATCAAATTGTCAAAGCCAGACAGAGAATCTTGAAAGCAGCAAGAGAAAAGCAACTTCTCAAATACAGGGATCCTACATGATCCCTCCAGAACAGGTTTCTCATCAGAAACCATGGAGGTCAGAAGGGAGGGCAATAACATTTTTAAAGTGCTAAAAGAAAACCAAACTACCTATGAAGAATTCCACATCTGGCAATAAAATAAAAATAAAAACTGAGGGAGATCATTGCTAGAAGACCTGCTTTGCAAGAAAAATGCAAAAAGGAATCCTTCAAGCTAAAATGAAAGGACACTAGACAGTAACTCCAAGTCATGTGAACATACAACTCGGCAAAGATAATTACATAGGAAAGAATAAAAGTTATTATTGCATTTTTGATTTGTAACTCCTCTTTTTATTTCCTACATAATTTAAAAGACAAATGGATAAAAATAATAATAAATCCATGTTAATGGGCATATATAAGAATATAACTTGGGATAACAACACATAGAGGAGTGGAGCTATAGAAGAGCAAAGTTTTGTATGCCATATGCTTACTGAAGCTAAGTTTGTAGTCAAGTAGATTGTTATAAATTTAGGATGTTAACTGAAATCCACCTGGTAACCAGTAAAAAAAAAAACCCCAAAAAACTGTTTTAATATACACAAAAGGAAACAAGAAGGGAATCACAATAGTATACTATAAGGTATCAATTAAACACAAAGGAAGGCAAGTAATGGAGGAGATGAAGAACAAAAGAGTATAAAATAAACAGAACACAAATATCAAACTGGCAGAAATAGCCATTCCTTTTCAGTAATCACCTTAAATATAAATGAAGTAAATTCTCCAATCAAGATGCAGAGATTGGCAGAATGGATTTTAAAACATGATCCAACTATATATTGTCTACAAAAGACACAAACAGACTGAAAGTAAAAGGAAGAAAAAAGATTTTTCATACAAATAGTAACCTAGAGAGAGCTAAGGAGGACAAATTACATCAGATGAAATAAACTTAAGGACAAAAACTCTTACAAGAGACAAAGCAGGACATTATAAACTGGAAAAAGAGTCAATCCATGAAGAAGATAAAATAATTACAAACATATAATTTATGGCACTTTGCACCAGAGCCACAAAATATATGAAGCAAAAACTGATGTAATGGAAGAGAGAAATAGATAATTCTACAATATAGTTGAGGACTTCAATATCCCACTTTTGATAATGTATAGAACTAGACAGAAGATCAATAAGGAAATAACAGGATTTGAATAAAATGTGAAACAAATATATAATACTCTGCTCAACAATATCAGAGTACACATTTTTCTCAAGTGTACATAAAACATTCTTCAGGATATATCATATGTTAGTCCACAAAATAAATCTCAATAAATTTTAAAAGTTTAAAAGCCAGCTAAGTATCTTCTCCAACAGCATGAAATTAGAAATCAATAACATAAGAAAAAATGGAAAATTCATAAACATGTGGTATTATATAAAGCAATTTTAAACAACCAATGGGTTAAAGAAGAAATCACAAGAGAAATTAGAAAACACTTAACAGACGAATGAAAAGAAAAAAAACAACGTGCTAACACAACGTATGGGGACCCAGTGAAAAGCAGTGCTCGGACGGATATTTATAGCAGTAAAAACCTCTATTAAAAAAGAACAAATACCTCAAATCAAAAACTTAAATTTTTTTTTAGTGTCTGTTTTTTTATTTTTGAGAGAGAGAGAAAGAGACAGAGTGCAAGCGGGGAGGGGCAGACAGAGAGAGACACAGAATCCAAAGCAAGCTCCAGGCTCTGAGCTGTCAGTACAGAGCCCGACATGGGGCTCAAACACATGAACCATGAGAGCATGACCTGAGCCAAAGTTGGAGGCTTAACCAGCTGAGCCACCCAGGCGCCCCCAAAACTTTTTTTTTTTAATTTTTTTTTTTTTTAACGTTTATTTATCTTTGAGACAGAGAGAGACAGAGCATGAACAGGGGAGGGTCAGAGAGAGAGGGAGACACAGAATCTGAAACGGGCTCCAGGCTCTGAGCTGTCAGCACAGAGCCCGACGCGGGGCTCGAACTCACGGACCGCGAGATCGTGACCTGAGCCGAAGTCGGCCGCTCAACCGACTGAGCCACCCAGGCGCCCCCCCCCCAAACTTTTAAATCGATAACTTTATATCTTAAGGAACTAGAAAAATAGGGGAAACTAAACCAGTGCTAGCAGAAAGAAAAAAATGAACAGTAGAGAGTAGATGGACAAAACAGAAAATAAACAGATAATGGAGAGCATCAATGAAACCAAAAGTCAGTTCTCTGAAAAGATCAACAAAACTGTCTCTTTAGCTAGAATGACAACAGAAAAAAGAGAAAGCCTTTTGACTGTGCCCAATTGAAATTACCAGTTGATCACCTTTAAAGATCATTCTGATATGAATCTTCTAAATAAACCTATGAACTTGACAGAGTGTAGGCTGTGAAGTGAGACTGTCACTCTGGGCCTGAGGGCAGTTTCCAGGTGTAATAAAGAAAGTCTGGAGCAGGAGTAGAAGACCTGTATCCTAGCCCTACTACTGGTGACCAACTGGCTGCGTCATTTAACTTTTTGGATACCCTCCTAATCTATAAAATTGGATGGAGGGCCTCTTCCAGATATAAGATTACCATGATCTTAGATAAGGAAATTAACATTTAAAATGGTTGCCGAATTTACTCAAAGCTTTTAAATCAGTATGTAGACTAATTTTAATCTAACAGAACAAAATCTAGGACATGTTCTCACCTAGCATGTGATAGGCTCATAATAAGAACACACGTTATGTAATTTACCTATACTAATTGTAACCTCTACCATCTTACAAATAACATTAATATGGAACCAAATCCTGGTCTCTTTTAGGAGGTCACCAAAACAATTACAAACAAAATGGCCCCCATCCCATGTAAACAGTGTACTCACCTTTCACTTTCATTGTTGCCGAGAAATGTTCCAAACTGTGAGGCATATGCATGCTCAAAGAGCATGATGAGGAAATTCTCATTAAATTCAAAAGAACAAGGAAATTGACGAAGTATCTGCCACACACAGTCCAAGAAGAGAAGAAATACAGGTGACTCCCACTTCTGCTTACTATTACAATAGGCTGACTGTGCGCAGCGCTGCTGAAATGGGTGACCAGCCTAAGACAGAAGATGGAAAGGTGACAGTCATAGCCTACACTGATATCACATTACAGCACATTCTATTAACATATTTCACACAGTTACAACAAAACTTATTAAATGGAACATCATGTAATTTGGATGGCTGCTGTTTACATTAATGATTTCTTGGCTTAAAACAATTTTTAGCATCTAAGGAAAGAAACACAACTTCCAAACATGTAACAAGGCCATGTGGTTACGGCATAACCATAAGAACTGCAATTATCCTTGGTGAACGTCACAAAATAAAATCTTCTAGGTCTGTGTAATTTGTAGCAAAGTCAAAGAACGTAAGGTCTTCAAGTACAAAACAAAAGACAGCTATCACGTTTTATCTGTCCAAAGCACTGCAGATTGTTGTAAGCTACGTAAGCCTCACCACTAAATGGAAATAAATCTGGGGCTCTCACAGACAAACTTTGTAAAGTCACTCCTGATATTCAATTTTTAATTACATATGGGAAAAAAGTTAGTGTCGTGAAGAGATATTTATGAATACTTTTATATTAGAGATAAAAATTGTCCCTAGTTCCCCTCTTCTCTCAAAAAGAATTGGAGGAGTCTGACATGTACTGACTAAAGGAAATTCAAGAATCATTTGGCTCTCTGGCCCACCCAGAACCTGAGTACTGACCTTGTCCCAAATGACACCCTTCTAGGTATTTCACAAACTTGCTTTATCTTTGGATCCTTATACTACTTTACCAGACAAAGATAATGACATCAGCATTTTCTAGTGGCTAATGGTACTTCGATACTCATTAAAATGGTAATATATGAGTAAGTAAGTCACATTCATTTTATTTGTTTGCTATGCATCATGAGGAATGTGGCTGAATAGATTTTTGCCAAATATTCGGGATGGTCTGATTTGAACAGAGATACAAATCAGTTGTCAGGCAAGATAGACAAGGTATCCATAACAGCATTAACACGCAACAAACCTGAATTTTAACTAGAAGGTCCAGAAAAGATTTTTCTCCAGAGATACTTCCACTTTCAAGATAGATCTAAACATCTGTTCTCAATCACAATTATTTGGTAAGTTACACATTGTATATATATTTATAAGTTAATCTCTGACCTGGAGGTTTCAATCTATTTCATAAGAACTTTCTTTCAATTGTCATTCAGCTTTATGTGATAGCACTGCATTGTGTCCTAGGGATAATAGAGCAGCTGCGCATGGTTCCCTGACCTCAAAGGAATCACTTTATTTGGGTCTAGGAAACAAATCATGAAGACAATGGATGGATTTTATCTGTGAAGAAGGTTAAGGTCCCAAGACTTCAGGACAGCAGTGACATTTAGCTGTATCTTAAAGCATGAGAAGGATTTCACCTGGTTGGGCAAGAGGATAGAGGGGAACCAGACAAGCAAAAGGCAGAAAGCACTAAAGCACACGTCTTATAATTACAAATCCCCACATCCCTTTCCTGCTTTATGTATTTTATCTCTAGCAAAATTAAGCTCTGCAAGACAGAGACTACGTTTTACGCTCTTTGTTCTTTCCCTTGTAGGTAACAAAGTACAACCAGTGAGAGCTTGTTAAGGGAATAAAATGCCAAATGAGCAATATAAGCAAAGACGGGTACAAAATTGAGAGGCAGTAAAGATTATAAACATTTACTGAGAGGAAGACAGATTATTTGCCTCCAGAAAATTAAACATATAATGTAAACATTTTAATCAAAACTTCATACATTATGTCTGTCCTACAACTAGGATCACACCCATTATTATTAGCAGTTCCTGTGCACATCAAACAGTGTTTCTCACCTGCAGCCACTCTCTTTCTATCAGGGCCTCAAAACCACGGATGGTCCTGCTTCTCGGTTCCAAGATGATCTGGGCCAGGGAAGTAACCTGAAGTGTGGAATCAGTTCCTTCTGTTCCATGAATCAATATGGATGCCCCTTCCCTGATAGGAAAATCCAGAGTACAAATGGGATACTCCCAACATGGTCAGTCAACTCTGTTAATAATAAACATTTATGGAGTACAGTATTTCAAACTCATACATTCTGGTCTGTCCAGCAGGGTTTAGAGTCTAAGTAAGGCAAATGAAGAGAGCTTCTCTTAGGAGAAATAAATAAATAAAACTATAAGTTCCAAATTTCACATGGCAAGAACCTCTTTAACTTACAACAAATTTCACAAAACTTTTTAGTTGAATTTTTTCTCCCTTTACAAAACCCAAAAGCAGTCCTTATCATGCACAGTAAGCACTTATCTTTTCTGCCTATTAAGTTAACTAAAGCCTTTTCTCATCACACCTAGGAACACACACTTAAAGTTATTTTTCTGTATCTCTCTGACTTGATTCTATCTTTCCACCTCAGCTGACTGTAAGGATGCCTTCATAAACTGTGACATAATGAATCTAGGAAACAAGTCCTAAACCACATTTTTAGAAACATGAAAACAAGATACATAAAACAAAACATAAAACTTTCAATCTAGAAACTCAGTGGCAATGATACTATTATACCACAATATTTAGGAGGAGTCTGGTGCCCAATATTCTAAAGAGAGTGGAAGGAAACACCAAAAACTAAACTAACTACATTTTTTCCTCTCCCCTTCTACCTCTTATCTTGAAATGACAGTGAATAAAATTTCCCAGAAGAGTCTCCAGTTTGGTTACTATTAATTCTTTTCCCACATACATATATACTTTACGTAGCTATAACATAAGGTAATTTCTTACTATTTCCACTTTTATTATAAACATTTTCCCATGTTTCTATACCACCTTTAGAAGTATTATATTCATGGTTATATAATATTCTATTAGGTGATCAACTATAATTTGCTGAAATGTCTGAGAATTAGACATTTAGGTCATTGTCAATTTTTGTTACACTACAGATGACATACTTAGCTTTTTGTCTTTTGCTGGATCATTTGAGAGTTCTTAATTTGAAAATAAAGGTCCCTGGTTAGGTTAACAACCTTATTCTAAGAATGAAATCTCGTGACTGGGTAGAACGGTATGAGTAAATAGTTTAAGGCTTCTGATGTATATATTGAATCTATATATCTTAGTTATCTGTGGCGTATTTTAAATTCATTTCAATTAATTTAAGGTCTATTTTTACATTTTGAGCAGTTAATTATAAGGGCAGACTTTTATGGAGGTATAAATAATAAGCCTAATATCAGAAAAGGTAACTCAATCATGGCAAAATAAACCAAAACCTTCAACTCTTGTTAAGAATGTGGAAGTCCTTGTTTAAGGTGGCCAGCTGACTCTAAACAAAGGTGGAGATAGCAAATACTGTTCTGCACCTAGGGTTCCCCTAATCTGCGGCATCCCATTATTATGGCTGCAAATTTGGACAGCACAGTGAGAAATGTTTATTACGATTTATGGTTCATAAGAAAACAGAAGCTCTGCACTCATCATGTAAGGGGAAATCTTTTTAACTTGGGTTAAAAAGAAACAGAACCCTTAATAACAACACCTCATCTTTCTGTAGTATTGATTTGTCTGCCGTAGAACCTCTTCTTTAACTCCCATATTTCGTTAGATAAATGAGCTTTGAGCTTTGCCTAAAACAAAAAACTAGTGACAGCCTGAGAATCCAGACCAAAAATCTCTACCCATTTCTGGTGTTGTCACTAATTCACCACATGACCTTAAGCAACCCATTCTATTACCAATTTCTCACTAACCACAAAAAAGTTACATGTCTATCCCTAATTTGGAAGCACCAATAAGACAAATTACAGTTTCAAGGAAAAGTGTCATCCAACTATGTAGTGGCAATACTTACACCTACCTATTGTCTCAGAAGAATCCCCTTCTTAAAAGGGGCATTCTAAGCTTCTGCAACAACTTATACCAGTTCTCTATTCAAGTCCTCTGCTTCAAGTCTCAAGGATTAGCAACCTTCAGCTGAACGAATAAACTAAAATCACTTCATATACTTTACATCACTGCCATCGGGTTTTCTCAACTTGAGATCCTGTTATAATGGCACGTATCAAGTACTTTGTAATAAGATATCTGAGAGATTAGAAAGAATCATTTTACCGTGTAACAAAATTACATGTTTCCTCTCATTGATATTTCGAAAGTAAGAAGGCAAGCCTGGCCCTCTGAGAACAAATAAGAAAACTTCTTTTCATTCTTGTTCACAGTTTAAGCAAAGGAAAATAGGTAGATTCACAATTCAAGGATTTTATAGAAAAAAAGAGTTCCTTTAGTATTTAAAAACTTTGTGTCCTTGAAGATGTGTGCCTGTGGTTCATATCTGTTCAACAAACATTAATCACCAATTAAATGCCAGACTCTATGCACACACTTCATTGATAGCACTGAATGGCATTGACCACCTTATACAGTAATTTATGCAATGATCTCAACATAGAATAGAGACTAGACACAAACTTTTAACACAATAGATAAACACATGTCTGGATAAAAGCAAAGTCTAGTTAGCGCTGCGTGTCCCATTTCAGAATACCGAAATACACTCTACCTGTCGATACACTGAGCCGCTAGACAGGCAGTTGTAAGAATCTCTTTGATGTGAGTCAGCCAGTTAGAAGCCTCCAATTTACTGAGCCATCTGTCCATGTTATGTGTTTGGTCATTACAAGCTTCCACGAGTTTGATTAAGCTCTCCTGAAGAATGTGATACCTTTAAAAAAATAAGAAAAAGTAAAAAGAGAATAGAAAACACACTGATGAAGAGAGAAACCAACCAAAACTTCAACCTCCAATATATCCAAGAGGAAAAGTAGCTCAAAATGGTATAAAAATATTTACCTTACTACACAATAACTTGATGATTAAACACTGAAAAAATAATATGTAAACATGGCAGCAAAGATACTTAAAATGCCTGTCATGGTAAACCATTCCTCACCTGAACAGATTAAACCCAGTTTACATTGCTAAATTACCTGACTGGGGAGCGGGCGAGAACACCGCCTTTTGTAAGAAGTCACGAGGCCGCACCACTGACATCTGCAATCCTATTTCCACAGATCCAACACTGGATACCCAGTACCTTTAGCAGGGATGCCCAGGGCCAGCTCAGACCCCACTGTTTTATTAGCTCCAACTCCCACCCACCCTTCCAGAAGTCCCTATAAACCTCTAATTGTAGGCGTAAACCAGATGTAGGTGGAGGAAACAGGGTGGGAGAATAGGTGGGTGTGGGGGAAAGTGTCTAGTCTTCTGACTTAGAAAAATACACTTATCCGTGGCATATCTGTTCAGTAAGTTTGATGACCACTGATCTTACAAGGAGAGGAGCAGACCTCTGACCTTGCGGAGATGAAATTTCAGAGTTAACTTAAGAGGAAGCATGCTGGATGTAAATTTAAAAAAATAATGAATAAAATAAAAATAAATAAATATATAAAGCATTAAAAAAAAAGAGAGAGAGAGAAAGCATGCTACCTGACTAAAAGTCAGCTGTGGGCATCCAAGATAAGTTTCCTGCTTATCTTATAAAACGCGACAGGAGATCCAGCCGATTTCTGACTCTAAGTTAATGCGTAGGTTCATTTGAGAACTTGTGATTTTTGCAGCTAAGGGCTCACCCATTCTAATTCGCTTCAAATAAGAGCCTACTACTGTCTCCAGAGTCTGTTACCTCTCAATGGACTTATGAATCCGCCTCCACTGGGGATAATGGGCTTCTTGTTCAAAGCCGCCGCCTTTGGCTCTAGCTTGCTGAGCTACATTTAAAGACCGTGTGTCAATGATGTAGCCACGTTTCCCTGCCCTGAGGGTAGCATTTATCAGCTTTTCATCTTCTTTGCACCTTCTCCCATTTGTGCCAGTGAGTGGCTGACCGCTTCGCATGATTACCTAGAAGCACGATGCAGTTTAAAATTTAAGAGTAGCTGCTTTGAAAGTTTCTGAAAATAGAAATAAATTAGCTAGATTAAGAGTATCTCAAAAACAATTGTGTGGCACTTTGAAGATGAATATGATCGTAAAACAAAGAAGTATCTCCACATATTTGCAATAGTTAATAACTAAAACAAAAATAAGCCTTGCACTTTAACACAATTTTTCTTCCTACTTCTCAAAATACTTCCACATAATAAATTACAATTGCTAAAAAGATCAATTATCACAATTTGTTTAGTTAGTAAATTGTTTACTGGACATGGCCCTGTAACAGAGATAATAATAATGGCCTATGTGCCAGTAAACTTTTGCTTCAACTACATAAAGAGGGTTGGCAGGTTTAATCAAGAATTATAAAGAGATGGGGTACCTGGGTGGCTCAGTCAGTTGAGCGTCCAACTCTTGATTTTGGCTCAGGTCATGGTCCCAGGGTCATAGGATCAAGCCCTGCATCAGGCTCCATGCTCAGCATGCTCTACTTGGGATTCTCTCTCCCTCTCCCTCTCCCTCTCCCTCCCTCCCTCTCTCTCTCTCTCTCTCTCTCTCTCTCTTTCTCCCCCTCTGCCCCTCTCCCCAGCTCAAGTGTACTCTCTCTCTCTCTAAAATAATAAGAAGAAGAAGAAGAAAAAGAGGGGCGGTTGAGTGGCTCAGTAGTTTGGCGACCAACTCTTGATTTTAGCTCAGGTCATGATACAGGGTCATGGGATTAAGCCCTGCATCAGGCTCTGCGCTGAGTGTGGAGCCTGCTTGGGATTCATTCACATTCATTCTCTCTCTCCCCCCTGCCCCCAACCCCTCTCCCCTCTCATGTTCTCTCTCTCTAAAATAAAAATAAAAAAAGAAAGAACTATAAAGAGAGAAAAACTATAAAGAGAAAAGCCACCAATGGTAAAATAAAGTTTATGTACTATTTGTGTTTGGGGAATCATTTTTAATATCTTTAAAGCTGCTTGTCTATTATTTATTCTCCTGTTACCCTCTTTCACCCTGTTCAGTATTTCAGGATTTAGAAACTTATTTCCAAAGACCATCAACTATATATTTTGAAAGGTTTGATTTTGAAACCTTTCATTTTCTCAAGAAATTAATATTATACAGATCTCTTCCTTGGTGAATGGTTTAGAGTTATTTCACTTTCTCCCCATAATATATGCTGTTATCTTAACTACCTTGAAATTTATTATGATCAAGAAAGGTCATCCAGACGATGACAATGGCTAACTCCCAGACTGCACTAACCATGTAAATGGACATATAGTATATTTAATATCCCTTTTTAAAATGCTTTGTAATGAACTCTCTAACAAACAGAAATATTACTATGCAAATGGGATAGATGATCTGATGCCAAAGTAGCAAATTTTTTGGAAATTTTTTTACCCTAAATATCCATGCTTGACTTATTATCCAGGGGAAAAAAGGCAACGGAAAATGACCATAACTTATCCACTATTTTACTATTGGTTTCAAAATGAGAAGCCGAGTTTATTGACTGAGAGAAAATAAGAGGACAGAAACAGATTTAGAAAATATTTAGGAAACACACATACAGCAAGCACTATTCAATTACTGACTCCTGTGTTTACTTAAATTGTAACTAATAACGTGTCATTCTTCTCCTTTTTGAAAATAAAAATGTCTGCTCAATTTACTTTTTACAGGGAAATTTGGGTAAAAATAATTTAAAAAAAGAATTCTACCATTATTCTGGTCAGAGAAATTTATTTTTCTACCTAACAGTGTTATTTTAAGTATCAAATAAACATTAGTTCCCTTAGTACTGAGTCCTTAAGATAAACCTGCCTGTTTTTTTGTTTTTTTTTTTTAAATATTTATTTATTTTTGAGAGAGAGAGAGCAGAGGAGGCCCAGACAGAGAAGGAGACACAGAATCCAAAGCAGGCTCCAGGATCCAAGCTGTTAGCACAGAGCCTGACGTGGAGCTCAAACTCACGGACTGCGAGATCATGACCTGAGCTGAAGTCGGACGCTTAACCGACTGAGCCACCCAAGCACCCCACCTGTCTGGCCTTTCTAATTTTGAGCAGCATCATGAGAAGAATTCAAAGTCATATCCTAATCACGGAAAACACTCTACTCCTGATTCCCTAATGTTTAAAAGAAGGAAGTTCTGACAAGGGAGACTAATCACATCAATGAACAAGTACACAGAAAGTGGAACATTTCTAAGGAAAGATCTGCAAACCAAGGCATTCACAGATCAAGCAGCAATACTGTATACTTACCATTCCATTTTTCTTATGATAATAGCTGAGTACTGGGAAGCGTCCTCCATGCCGAAATGTAGCTACCTTCCGAAGAGCTTCATCATCAATGGATTTGGGCACTATGACAATTGGCGGGTAAGAAGGACAGACAGCAAATTCCTTATTGACATAGCTTAACCTCCATTCACTGGTCTGGAAAACACAAAATACTTCAAAGCTAAGCAAGTATCTCAATGTTACAAAACAATCTGAAAATTTTAGAGGACCTTAGAGATCAATTTTCATACAATGAAGAAGCCATCTCTCGGGAATTTAATATAAGGATACCCAACCCATACTTAAAGGAGTTCTATTCTTCAGAGTCCGTTTCCTACATTGCTAGGTATTCTCCATTCCTAGAAAGTGCTTCCTTCTTTTGGGCAAATGTGGCTCTGTAACTTCCTCTATTGTTTTTACGTGGCTTCAGTCCCAGTTTCCTATTTCACACGGCATCCTATTAAATATGTGAAAGACAGTTGTTTCCCCTGTAGTCGCCTATTCTCCAAGTAATATATATTTAAGCATATCCATGCTATCAAGGCCAATATCATCCCATTCATCCTTTTTTGGGGAGCATTTAACTTTATTTTTGGTATTCTTAAGTACAGCAACAGGAAGACTGTAATATTCTAGATAATGCTTAGCCAGATGATAACAATAGAGCTACTACCTACATCAAATCCCTTGTTCCCTTCTGTTATTTAAAAATGTAGAAAGACTGGTGATATCTTTCTTAAAACAATAACCACTTAATGCTAAAAAAAATTATACTTAGGAATCAATGAAATAATTTCTAACTCAATATACTGAGGACTAAGAGTATACAATATAAGATTATCAAATGACAACTTATTTTAAACATCAAAAATAAAAACCACTTGAAGACAGTAAAAAAAACTGTTTACAGTTAAAAAAATAAAGTTATGAATATGCAAATTTTGATACATTCCGATAAATCAGATTTGGCTTGACATACTGGCCAAGTGGTGCAGTACCAGGAAGATAAAATTGAAGCATATTCAACATACTATAGGAAAAGAGAATTTTTTTAAAAACCTTTTTACAAGATGCAATATATTTTTTAATTAAACCACTTACACTTTCCTATGTTATTCTCTTACCAATTTTAAAGACAGTTTCTAAAAAATTCATTAGTTAAAAAAAGAAAAAAGGAATTTACCTGTTTCCTGTTCACCTCCATCTCGTAATTCCCTTTCCCCAGAGGTAATCATTTTCAACTCATAGCTTTTTATTTCTAGCGTTTACATCCAAATTTCTTTTTTTAAATTTTTTTTAATGTTTTATTTTTGAGAGAGAGAGAGAGAGAGACAGACACACAGACAGACAGACGGAGCACATGTGGAGGAGGGGCAGAGAGAGAGGGAGACACAGAATCCAAAGCAGGCTCCAGGTTTTGAGCTGTCAGCACAGAGCCCAATGTGGGGCTCAAACCCACCAACCGTGAGGTCATGACCTGAGCCCAAGTTGGAAGCTTAACTGACTGAGCCACCCAAGCGCCCTACATCCAAATTTCTAAATAACGTGATTATACTGTTACTTCTTGAATTTCACTATTAGACATTACTTACTGATTTCCTACTCTGGAGAATGGTATGATCATCCATTGACCTGCAATGCCACTTCCGGCATATATTAAGTTCCCATACGTAGAAGGTTCGCTATTCTGTCCCACTGGTTTATTGTAGTAAGTCCCAGAGCTTTTAGAATAAACTTGATATTTAGTAGGCTAAGTCTCCTCCTCCCTCTTTGTTGTTCTCCAAGAGTACCTGAGCTTCTCTGTGCAACTTTTATCTAATTTCATGTAAAAACCCATTGTGGTTTTAGTAAGACTGCATTGATTTTATGGATTCATTTAAAGACATCTTTAAAATATTCTATCTCCCTGTCCATGAGCATAGTGTCTCTCACCTTTTTAAAGCCTACTTAATTTTTTCAACAAAGTTGTACAATTCTCTCAATAAAAGCCTTGCCTAACTTTTCTTTGATATATTCCTAGAAACCTTATATTTTTGTTGCATTTTACTTATATGTTTTTCAAAACTGTGGTTGGTATACAGAAATGCTCACAATCTCAAGACTCTTTCAGTTTCCTGTGTAGACAAACATATAAGTAACAATGACAGTCTTGCTTCTTTCATTTTAATCTTTGTATCTTTTATTTTTCCTTCTTGTCTTAATGAACCAGCAAGTAGTGGTGGTGGACAAACTTGTCTCCGTCTTGAACTTAAAGAGAATGATAAAAGACTTGCTTTTTTGTATGTTTTTGTTTTGGGTAGCTTTATCAGACTTATCAGACAGCATTTATCAGATTATATAAATGCCCTTCAAATCCAATTCCGCTAAGAGCTTTTATCATGAATAGATGTCTAATTGTATCCAATTTTTTTCTATTCTAATTTTATTACACCATATATGTAGTTTCTCTTTTCTCTCCGACTTACTTTGTGATATTCTCTTTGCCTTACGATTTAATAGCTGGACTACAACACATCTAACTAAAGATTTATTCTTTATTGTCTTGCATAGTGCTTCCTGGGACACTTTAAGAGTTTGTGGCTTTCATCAATTCTGGAGAACTCTCAACCATTACCTATTTGAATAGTGCCTTTCTCCCATTTTCTCTATTATCTTCTTGAACTCCCATTTAATGAATATTGGATCTTTTCCCTTTATCATTCATACATGTGTCTAACTTCTCTATCATTTTGCACATCTTCCTTGTTTCTCTGCTCTGCACTCTGAGCAATTACTTCAGATCTGTATTCTAGATCACTCTTTGTTTCCAATCAGGTACTTAACCTTACATTAAGTTTTTTCTCTTCTTTTTAATCAATTTTGAGATTTTATTATTTGTATGGAAAAATAAACTAGATCCATTTACAGTGCATGATTTCATGAGTCTTGACAGCTATATACACTCATGAAACCACCACCACAATCAAGATAACAAACATTTCAATCATTTCCCACAAAAATCCCATGTGTATTTTTGCAGTCCATATCCTCTCCTCCACATCTCAAACTAGGAAATCATTACTCTTTTTTCAGTCACTTGTGGTGTTCTATCTAAAAAATCTTTGCCTAATCCAAGGTCATGAAGATTTTCTCCTGTGGTTTCTTCAAGAAGTTTTATAGTTTTAGCTTTTATTCCATTCATCAATAAGTCTGCCCTTATACCAATGCCACACTCTCTTGATTATTATAACTTTACATTACGTTTTGAAATCAAATACTGTAAATCCTTTCTTTTTCACAGTTGTTTTGACTATTCTAGTAACTTTGCATATCCACATAAATTTTAGGATAATTTTGTCAATTTCTATTAAACACACCTATTGGAATTCTCATAGGAATTGCACTGAATCTATAAAGCAATCTGGAAACAACTGTGATCTTAATGAGAGGTCAGCAAACAATAGTCCACAAGCCAAATCCAGCCCACTGCCTGTTTTTATAAATAAAGTTCTATTGGAACATAGCACTACCCATTCATTGGCATGTTATCTATTGCTGTTTTCACGTTGCAACAGCAGAGTGGTGTCGTTGTAACAGAGACTGCATGACCGACAGAGCCTAAAATATTTACTTCATGGTCCACTATGTAAGTCAGCCCACTACTGATCTTAACCCTATGGTCTTCTAATCCATGAACATGGTGTATCTCTCCATTTATTTAGATATCCTTTAACTTCTCAGCAATGTTTTGTGTTTTCCAGTGTACAGAATCTGTACCTATTTTGTTAAATTTATTCCCAAGTGTTTTATTCATTTTCAGATTGCTTGTTGCCAATAATTTAGTTCGGGTATATTTATATTGTGGGTATATTTATATTGATCACCCTTACTAAACTTGCTTATGAGTATTTTATCGATTTCTGATCTTATTTTTATGACTTCATTCTTTCTAGTTACTTTGCTTTTTTTTTCCCCCTAGCCTAATTTGGTGATTTTAGACCTTTTCTTCTTTTTTTTAATCTAAGCATTTAAAGCCATAAGTTTCTCTTTAAACTTTAGCCGTATTCCACAAATTATGATGTTGCATTTTTATAATTCAGTTCAAAATATTTTCTAATCTCCCTTATGATTTCGTTTTTGACACATAGATTATTTACAAGTACTTTGTTTAATTTAGAAATATTCTGGGTATTCCTAAATACCTTAGTGTTATTGATTTCTAATTTAATTCCTTTGTGGTCAGATATTACACATTGTACAGTTTCAATTTTTCTAATACTGAAATTTACTTAATTGCCTTGCATACAGTCTCTCCTGGGTAACATACCATGTACTCTTGAATACTGTATATATTGTACAGAAGTTAGGAGTGGCATTCTATAAATATCAGATAGTGTTGTTCAGATCTTCCATGTCTTGTTTTGTTGTTGTCTAGTTGTTTTTGTTTTAGTCTAGCTGTTCTATTAATTGCTGAGAGGACAGTGTTAATAATCTCATACCATGATCACAGAACTACTCATAACTTCCATCAATGTTTGCTATATATAGTTTTATCTTCAAAATTTTATTATTATGGAATGACCCTCTTTATTTGATATTTTGTGTCTTGGAGTATTTTTTTTTAATCTGGAGTTAATGCAGCTACTTCTGCTTTTTTATCCATGGCATGTTTTCCCATTTATTTATTTTCAACCTATGTCTTCATATTCAAAATGCATCTTTTGTACATGGCTTATGTTTAGATCTTTAATTCATTTTTTTCTTTAGTTCACTCTGACAATCTTCATCTTTTGATCGGAGTGTTTAGCTCATTAATACTAAAATAGTTGTTGATATGGCTGGAATTTAGACTACTATTTATTTGTTTGTCCCTTCAGTTTCTATTGCTATTTTTTCTTTCCCACTTTCTGTTAGATTTAAATACTTTTTAGAATTGCATTTCGATGTACGTATTAACTTTTTAAATTATACCTCTTCACATTTTTTAAAAAGGGATTGTTCTAGGACAGTGGTTCTCACCCAGGGGTGATTTTGCCAAGGAATAGCATTCGTCAATGTGTGGAGACAACTATAGGTGGGGTGAAAAGAATCCCACTGGCATCTAGTGGTGCCAAAGATGCTGTCAAACATCCTACAAGGCACAGGACACATTCTCACGGCAAAGAATTATCTAGTGT